CCAAAAAAAAAAAAAAAAAAAAAAGAAAAAGAAATGATATGGCTTAGTTTTCAAACATGTCCCCCAAACCTCCTGTATTTAGAGATGGGGCTCATGGGCCACTGTATGAATCAGTGATCGGTGCACTGAAATGTGCTGTTGTGCAGTGAAGGCTGGCTCAGATGTGTCACTGAGGGTGACCTGGAGGAGTGCACGCTTGTCCCTGGCTGCTCCTTTCTCTCCTTCCTGCCTGCGTGAGTTGAGCTGCTTTCCTCTACCATGCATTTCCACCCAGCTGTTTTTGCCTTGGACCCTGCTTTGCAGTAATAGCCTGCCCCAGTTGAAAACTGTGAGCCAAATACACCTCTCTTCGCTTTACGTCATGCTACTTAACCAAATTACGGGCTCTCAGCTGTTGTCTTACTCACTTTTTTCATTCTGAAACACAACACCTGTCATCCACAACTGAAGGGCTTTATTTTGGCTCATGTGTTCCATCCGTGATCAGCTGGCTCCGAGGCAGGCAGGCATGGCAGAGGGGCATTATGGAGGAAAAGTCGCTGTCACGCAGGCGGCTGAGAAGCAGGGAGAAAGCAGCCCAGTGACCTCCTCACAGGCCCTATAGGGCCCCTATAATCCCATAGCCTGGAAAAGCCCCGCCCATGAGTGTGTGAGGCTCTTGAAGGATTCTAGATATAAACCATAACACGTGTGTACTTTTATCACCTGCAAATTAAAACAGATATTTGCTTTCTCTGGCCAACTTGCTCTAGGCCTTCTAGTTTCTTTCTCATCCCTGTCTTAATAAAATGATGTTACTGGCTTTAGACATTTGACACTAAAGAACATGAAATGCTTAAGGAGAAAAGTGACTGCCGGCCTCTAAGTTCCTTCTTTATGGATTTGTATTTTTCAGAGATTCTCATATATATATATATGTGTGTATATATATATATATATATTTGTTTTTATTTGTCAATTTAGTTATAAAGTATAGATGACAGTTCATCCTTTTTTAAGTTTAACCATTTATGAATTTGGAGAAACTTACCTGTTACTGTAGCCAAGACATTTTTGCTTTCACCTCTCCTAACCTCCCAGGTCTACTTCCTTCCCCCATAGTATTACATTTTCAGAATGTTATATAAAGGGAGTCATATAATGTATAGGTTTTCAGCTTGGATTCTTTAACTTACCATAATGCCTTGCAGCTCACTCATGTTGCATTATTAGAACACGGTAAAAAAGTGCTGAATAATACTCCATCACATAGATGTGCAGTAATGTGTTTATCCTTTAATTGTGCGATGTACATTTGGACTGCTACCAAAGATTGTGGGTAAAGTTGCTGTATGTACTTAACTCAGGTTGTTTGCAAATGTGTTTTCATTTCTATTGGGATGGGATTGCTAGGTTATATAGCAAATGCCTAATAAGTTACCAAAGTAACTATGTTGTGTTTTTGTCAACAATGGAGGAGGAGTTCTAGTTGTCCTACATTGTTGCTGGTATATTTTTAGTTCTTAAAACATTTAATCATTTTTATTATTGGGTAATAGTATCTCACTGTGGTTTTATCTTACACTTTAAAAAATATCTTGATTAAGAAAATGAAGCTGTGTTGTCTGGTTATATTTATTAAGAATAGGTTAGTTTTACCTAATGAATATTGACCTGAAACGTGAAAAGTAGTCTTACCACCTTGCACACTTTTCTTTTTTTTTTTTTTTTTTACACTTTTCCTTACCTTGAACACAGTAGGCTTGTAATTCTTGAGTTTTTAAAGCCAAACCAACCAGGGACCAATCACAAGAAAGGTGCCTTAATAGATTACTTTGTGTTTTCACAGAAAACTTTAGTGGTTACCCTATTTTAGTGAAAACAGTTACAGGTATCGTCTCTCTTTTTAACGCTGTGCCTAAGAAGTCTGCAATTGTTTCATAAGCCTGCTGTATTAAGAAACAGTGATGCTAATTTTCTGTTGATTTACACAGGAAAACAATGAAGAATCGTTACATGGAACTGTATGACCTTAATAAAGACTTGCTAAATGGATATAAAATTCGCTGTAACAATCACTCAGAACTATTAGGAAATCTTAAAGCAGTAAATCAAGCAATTCAAAGGGCAGGTCGTCTGCGTGGTAAGTCTTTTCATGGTGCTGCAGTTTGTTTGTAGTTTCTGGAGATGACCATTCCTTAATTTATATAAATACTCTCCAGTTGGTCCCATCACTTGGGTTTCCATCAGCCTACTATTTAGCTTGTCTCCAGATGTCAAAGGGAAAGAAGCTTCTGGCTAGGTGTGGTGGTGCATGCCTGTAATCCTAGCACTCGGGAGGCTGAGGCAAGAGGACTGTGAATTTGAGGCCAGCTTGAGCTATAGAGTGAATTCAAGGCCAGCCTGAACTGTATAGGGAGACCCTGTCTCAAAAACAAGCAAACAAACAAACTACAATAGAATAAGTTAAAGGAAGCAAAAAATATAGGTAGACTGATATCTGACTTCTGTTGTTTTGGGTCAGTGCTTTGACATTTTTAGAAATAATCATTGCATATGAGTTTTGATTGGTTTCTATATTTGAATGTTTTCTAAGTTTGTTTTATGATAAATTTCTTTACCAAATTACCTCTTTTAGGGAGTAAGATAAATGAGTAAATGTGCATTTGTAATTATTTTCTAACCTAGTTTTTTTTTTTTTTTTTTTGCGGAATTGGGGATTGAACTCAGGCCCTTGCTCTTGCCAAGGAAGCGCTTATTCCACTGAGCCATCTCCCCGGCCCCTAACCTGGTTTTATATTGTTTTAAAACTGGACTCTATAATTTAACATTTATTTATTTAGTACAGGGTCTCACTACGTGGATTGGACTCAGTAGTGATCCTCCTGACTTCAGCCTCCCAAGCGCTAGGATTATGGGTGTGCGCCACTACGCCTAGTGTCAATCATGGTCTCAGCGTGCCCTGAGGACATGCCAGGGATCAAACCAGTCCCTGTGCCTGCCTAGGCAGGTGCTTTAATCTGCTGAGCTATTTGGCCGGCCCTATTTTTGGTTTTTTGAGACAGGTTTCTATGCAGTTAAGGCTACCCTTGAATTCATTAGGTAGTCCAGGCTGGCCTTAAACTCACAGTGATCCTTCTGCTTCAGCCTCCTGAATGCTAGTATAATTTTGCTTTAGTTTTAATAGTCTTTTGGGGAAATACTGACTTAAGTGTTTCTTCTGATGCAGTTGGAAAAGCAAAGAACCAAGTAGTAACTGCTTGTCGGGATGCAATTCGAAGCAACAATATCAACACACTGTTCAGAATTATGCGAGTGGGGACAGCTCCTTTATAGAAGAGTAAATAAGGAACCAAGTTTTTGGAGAAGGTTTGTTCCTACCAACTTGAGGTTCTTTTGCTCTGGATCATGTCCCTATGAACCTGGACTGCTCAGAATAAAAAAGCCCGTGGTGAGCTGCACAAAGCACTACAGCTAAAAAATGAAACCACTTCCTATTTTTTTTTTTTGTTTAGTAATGTAATGTATAAATATACCTTTATCCTTGAACTTGTATTTGAATTCATAATTTTCAAATACTTTTTCATTAAAGTTAAAAAGTATTATACTTTGTTACTGACTGTAAAAGCACTATCACAGCAGAATTGTATAAGCCATTTGTATTTTGTTAAGAAAAACAAAACTAGTTAATCAGTTTGTGTGTCTTCCTTTTAATCTCTGAAAAGGGAATGTCCTAATTATTTTTCTTATTGCCATTGCAGACTACCTGATACCCACAGATTAGGAATGAAAGGTTTATTTCGGCTCAGAGTTTGTAGAGGTTTCAGTCCACAGTTGCTGGCTCCAAGGCAGGTGGTGTGGCAGAGGGGCACTGCAGGGGAGCAGTCCACAGTGTGGCTCGCAGAAGGCACAAAAAGCAGCACATAGCAGTCTGCATTCCCTCTCTCCCCTTACATTCCACCCAGGAAACAGGCCTGTGGATTGGTGCCACCCACACCTGGGCTGGGGCTTCCATTATCCATGCCCACAGGACGATGTTAAACCCATTAAGTGGACTGAAGTTATCCCTGTAACATACCCTAGATCTAGTAAGCTCTGAAAAACCCCACCTGTGAGTATATGAGGCTTTGAGGACACATCTAGACACAAGCCATAACTGAGCAGAAACAAATTTATACCAAAGGAGAATCAGTTTAGGGTGATCAGTTAATTGAGGTGATGTTAGCTGCTCTGACAGACTTCAAAATTCATGACTTATTTATTTTTCATTTATTACATAAATGAACTTAAGGAAAATGAGTTAGGTGACTGTTTTCACACTCACTGCATCCAGTGGAGGCCTTCCAGCATTGCCTTCCATTCTCCCACTTAGAGCTCTGGCAGAAGTGGGCCAGGAGTGTGGCAGTTATTTATATCCAAGCCAGCAGAAAAGGAAGCTGGTTTATGTTTCAAGCTGTGCCCTGGAAATAGCACACTGTCATTTCACTCCCATTGCTTTGGGTAGGATGGCCAACCTGCAGGAAGGCCAGGAAATGTCATCTCCCTGCACCCTAGCAGAGCCCACCCAGGAGGTAAAATTTTCACAATTGGCTTAATGCCTAAAACAAGTCATTTTTCACATTATAAATAGCATTCATGAGCAGTTGGTGGAATCAGACTTTCCCTTTGAAGTTAGAAACTACAGTAATTTTATTATCTCAACTTGGCCACTTACAATTGCTCTCTCCTATATCTGAAGTATAGGCTTTATGGAGTCCTAATTTATACAATAATTTTTCAATTTTGTAAGCTGGGGATATATATATATACAATATTTCCAAAAATCCCATAAGTAATAAAGCATTATATTTGCTCAAAGGGTGAATAAATTGAGCAGAGATTAATTCCTTGCCAGGAATTAAGAGAATTAGTACCAAATTCAAGCTTGACTTTTTTGTTTTTTACTGTGTTAAGCACAGCCTAGCATAGCTTTGCCTGTGTTTAGGGGAAGATTATGGGGGATTGAACTCAGAGTCTCATGCATGCTAGGCAAGCCCCCTATCACTGAGCAATATTTTCAGCTCAAGTTGATATATTTTGAAATTGAAATTAGTTGATGCTGGTTTGAAGTGATTGGTTACCATTCATCTTTCATGAGCCACGTACAATCATCTTAGCATAGGTTGCTCTGTTCTTCAGCTAAAAAGCTTCCTTTAGACGCCTGAGTATTTGTGTAGGGCTAGAAAAGGATGACCGCAGCACAACATGTGTAAGCAGTTCTGAAGGATTACTAGTAGTTACTTTCAAACTAGTTCGATCTTTATATTAGTATGTGTCTATTTCAGGGGCAAGGTTCTGTGCAGGATCCCAGAAATTGATTAAGTGATGGTATGAAGTTTAGAAACCCAGTACTATAGTCCTGGCCGTACTAGTTAGTTCAAGTTGTCTGCCAGCAAGTAGACCAGATGGAAAGAAATATGCAGGAAACATAGCTACCCTCCTTTTCTCCTTAGATGTGAGGTTGAGCTTAGCAATTCCTTAGAAATGAGTTAATCAGTTACTGTGCTACTGTTACCCTATTTTCATATCCTGATATAATCTGAGTGCTACTTCTAGAAGCTATAGCTAAGCTTTATTTTTTGCTCTTTATTTTTTTTTTATTGAAGCTGTAGGTGATCACTCCACACTTCATTTCACAGCTGATTTTGTGAAAATCTGGTATGTGGGAGGAAACTTTTTGAAAGCATCCCCCAAAATACCACACATGTGCATATCCCCAACCCAAATTCAGGTATGCAGTGTATTTGTTTTTTGAAACAGGATCCTGCTATGCAGTTCAGGCTGACTTTAGCTCACTACATAGCCCAAGCTGGCCTAGAATTCGTGGTGATCTTCCTGCCTCCACCTCCCTAGTGCTGGCATGCACCACAACCGGCTGCAGTGTTTTCAAGAGTGTGGATTTTATTATTTCCCACTATGTCCTCCTATTTATTACCAAGGCTTAGCTCATGAGCTTTTCCTGTCCTTAACATTCTCTGTTTATACAACTTATTTTTTCTGTATTTAGAACAGGATCTACAGGGTCTCACTACATAGATCGGACTCATCATGACTCTCCTGTCTTCAGCCTCCCAAGTGCTGGGATCACAGGTGCACGCCACCATGCTCAGTCTCAATCACTGTCTCAGTGTGGCACACTGGGGATCAAACCCCGGTCCCTGGGTCTGCCTAAGCAGGTGCTTTAGTCTGCTGAGCTATCAGGCCAACCCTGTTTATTTATTTATTTTTCTTTTTTTATTTATTTTTTCTTTTTTATTTTTT